CAGTGCGGCACTCCCTCAGCGCTGACCCTCCGACAGTGCGGCACTCCGTCAGTACTGCATTGGGAGAGCTGTTCTAGATTTTATGTTCATGTCTTTAAAGTGGAATTTGAGATCACAAATGCCTGATTTGGGTCAGTTACACACACTGAACCAGCACTAACATAAAGACAGCACAATAAGGAATGAGATTCTGTTGGGATATCACAGTCAAAGTGCTGAATTATCAAATCAAAGGCAGTAGCCTTACTTTGTTTTGAAGTACAGAACCACACAGAGCATCCCGACCACACTCAATCCGATGGTGATGCAGGTTATAGACATAATCTGTCTCTGGTAAATATCCTCACTCTCTGTGAACAGAAACAGACAGAAACAAACAAGTAGTTATAACATCTTTCCATTAATGTATTTGGAAGTGCAGAAAATAACATCTACATGTAGTTTCCCGTGTATATACATCTGTAAGTATGTGCGAACCTAAGTTTGCAGTGTGAATAGTGGCAGTATGGAGTGTTTTGCATGTCCATGTGTTTATGCACGCGTGCAGCTGTGTGTTTTTCCATGTCTGCATTTTCATCAGTGAGTGGCTCATTCTCCAGAATGTCACTTGACTTTGGTGTTCTGCTCCCTCTCACAGTTCCAATAAGCCAATCTAGCCACTCGGACAAAATCCCTCACTCACTGCAAATCCTTTACATTATCCATATCCAAGGAGATATAAACTCATTGAGTGATTGATGCAGCAAAAAGCTGGGTACACTGAACTCAAATTCAAATTACAGTCACTCATGCCATCAATAAAATATCACCATCACACAAGGGAATTAACTAAATGTATCAGCAACTGCAATGGAAACCGAGATCAGAATTGTTTGCTTTTATTCCTTCATCATAAGTGTCTTCTTTCACAATCTGCTAATGAGTTGGAAAACATTGTAACCAAAATTATAAAGGTATGAAATTATATGCTGGGAGTGTTTGATGGGGGCAGCGTAGAGGGAGCTTTACTTTCAGTTTAAAAGGGTAGAGATAGCTGATTTACACATTGCCATCTACACAACACAATGAGAGAAAGGAGCTGGCGTGAAATTGCTCAAACATAAAATAAAGCTGAATGGACCAGGCTTTCAGAATAGAGCTCTGGTAGCTGAAGGGCCTGAGTTAAATGATAAAGTGAGGTTTTCGATGCCCCTGATTCAAAAATGAGACAGTGAGAGAGGGAGACTTAGACCAAAGTCAGAACAACTCTCGCCCAACAATCCAAGTGGGAGCTGGCAGTTGATGGAGCGGGATGCAGGGAGGAGCAGGGTCCATTCCTGCCAATGTCATTCAGCTGTTATGGTCCACAGACATGTTGAAAATTGCTGCTTTAGTTCCAGAGTCACGGACTGTTCTGGACAGACAGCCAGATCCCAGAAAAAAGGAGTCAATTTTCACTTTGGGCGAGAAAGTGAGGAAAGAGCAGAAATCATCAGCTCAAGATCCTGACAGCTCAAAGTGGAATAGCAGTCAATTAGAACAGTGAGAGAATGGACCATAGAGACCAGACACCGAGAGGGACGAGATGCTGAGAGGGATCAGACACAGTGAGGGACCAGACACCGAGGGAAATCAGACGCAGAGAGGGACTAGACAGAGAATGCGGAGAGAGAAAATGCAGAGAAAGATGAAGTGCAGACACAGAGACTAGACAGAAGCACAGATTGGGACACACCAAAACCAAAGCTTTGAGACAGACCAATAATGCAACTGGCACACAAAAAGACATAGAATAACAAGAGTGAGTCCATACCCATGAATTCTATTCCCAGATGTTCTGCTGCATTGAGGGTTTTAACAATCAGAGAGAGAGAGAGAAAGAGGGAGAGAGAGAAAGAGAGAATATTGTTAAGCAGTTTGATACTATTCATGCAATCTGATTGTTGTTTGAGAATTCAGAATGGATTCAGTGACAGAACAAAATTCCCCTACCCACAGATTCAGCTCAGTTCCTGACAGAGTCAGGTAAACAATCAACAAATAGTTCTGGGAGTTGCAATGTTATCGTGCATTAAATTGTAGCAGAGAAGCATTTAACTTAGAAAATGCTCAGTCTGTTTGTGCGATTTGGGTGTTAAGCTTGGGTGCAGCTTTACCAGGTTGTGAGACTGAGCTGTATCTCAGTGAGGTAATCCCAGGATCAGCAAGACATAACTCAGCAACTTGAGCCTGTTCCACCAATCACTGCTGCTCAAACTTTGAATGCATACAACAATAAAATTAAAGTTAATTTACCATTGACCATCTCAAAGGAAACTAAACTGCCCACAAAGCTTGCCTGATCTTTGTGACACAGGATACCTGTTTCCCAGGTAACAGTTTCAGTCTGCTGCAAAGTGGATCTGTAGCCATTGAGTACAGCAGTGTCAGTGAGCAGAGCAAGCTCCAATCAGATCATGGTCTTCACAATCCACAAGCAGCAACATGAAAACCCCTCACTTTAAATTTTCACACAGTTACATCATTATGATTGGATTAAGAAGTCAAAAGAACAATTAGAAACAAATTTTGGATTTGTTTTAATCATTAGGAAGCAATCTGACAAATATCATGAGACAGTAGGAACTGCAGATGCTGGAGAATCTGAGATAACAAGGTGTAGAGCTGGATGAACACAGCAGGCCAAGCAGCATCAGAGGAGCAGGAAAGCTGACGTTTCGGGCCTAGACCCTTCTTCAGAAATCAGAAGGGTCTTTCTGACCTCATTTTATTGCTGAAACAGTGAATATTGTCACCAGATTAAATTGTTAATAGAAAGGTATATAGCAGCTCAGTTTATATAATCTACAGAGTGCTCTAGAAACGGCTGCCTGTCTCAGTGAAGTAATGACAGTGAGGCTGATCATTTCACCAGCATTCCCATCAAAACACATCTTCTTAACCACTTAGGAGCTTCCCTCCATCAATATGCTGCAAAAGTAAATTGATGAAGGAGACTATCGTTAACCTCCAATCCATTGACAATCGTAAGGTCTTGTATCAGTGGTAGTGTCCCTATGTCTTATACAGGAGGTCTGCATTCAAGTCTCAACTGTTCTTTAGGTGAGTCATACCACATTTGGACAGGATGATCTGAAAATACCTGGAAAGTCTCTGAACATTCACCAAAAGTCCAGACTTTTCTCTGCTGGGCATCTATTAGCAGCGGTGGGACCGTGGCAAAGGCTGACTAAGTCAGTCAAATCTAAATTGTGTAGAGCTGGAAGATTTTTCAAAAGTGCTTTAGCTGCAGAAATCATCATTTGGCACAATAACAGTAATTGGTGATGTGGCAGCACAGACTCGCAGACCAGACACAATACAAAGGAAAGGGAGGACAAATTTCAGAAGTGAAACCCTATCGACTGAGCTGAACAACAGAATGCTCAGCTACTGAAAGGGCATCACTTGAGATGTGCCATAGTGAACAAGACTAAGGGCCAAGTGCTGGGAAATGAGTATACAGTAGATAAGTGCTTGTTGACTAGCACAGACACAATGGGTCAAAGGGTCACCAGCAAGTGACTGCACTCAGCAACATTTACATTCAGTTCACTGATTGGAGAGCAGGCTGGATATGGGTGGGGGTGGAAGTGGGGCGGGGGACATCCTCTATTGAAGGTGGGGCAGGGATTTCGCAAATGGTTAGCAGAAAAGTTCAATAATAAAGATAAATGATAAAATATAGGGAAAGACTCTTGTTACAATATGTCAATAACACATGCAGCAACAATATAGCGTGCAGAAGTTCAGTTTGGGTTTAGCTAATGGTATCAAATCCTTCCCTGTTCTGAAAGACCATGAGTCAGAAAGTGAATAAACAGAATCAGAATAAACTCAAATCTCTCACTCTCAGGGGGTCACTCCATCATTACCTTCACTGTTCCATCACTCTGCCTTGCACATACACCCACCTTCCAACCTGAATGCAGGAAATGCTGATTGCCTAGATAAGTAATATTAGACTTTCCACTGAATCTTGATGGAGGCCAGCCCAAAGGAGTGTTCAGATTTGACAACACAGAGATAAGTTTCCACTGGGATGGGGAATCTGATGTGGAAATAAGAACAGAAAATTCTGGAAATATTCCCCTGGTTCCAGCAACTTCTGCGGTGGGAGAAACAGAGTGTAATGTCTTAGAGCAATGACCCTTTGACAGACATTGAGTTGGGACTGAGATAATTTTGGAGAAACCCTGAGAACATTTGTGAAGAAAGAGGCTTCTTGTGGCACAGTAGTAATGCCCCTATCTCTGAGCTAGGAGGCCCATAGAACATAGAACATTACAGCGCAGTACAGGCCCTTCGGCCCTCGATGTTGCGCCGACCTGTGAAACCAATCTGAAGCCCATCTAACCTA